TTATATATGAGGCTAATAAAATCAGTCCTACAGCTAAGCCAGACAAGGTTATAAGATGCCTGGCACACACTACAGAAAGAGAAAGAGAGAGAGACTTGTAGCTTTCTGGGTCTTCCAGTTTTATTTGCTGATGCACAGTCCCTTGTCTTGATACTATGAGCTGCCAATTTGTAGTCTCAAACATGGAGAGGAAATGCTCATTAGGAGCCAGAGCGCAGGCCTGATGTTCTTACCCCGGAAAGTCACTCGCTACTCTAGGTTTTCATCTCTTCCTCTGGAATGCACATGCTCAGTTGGGTCTGTCGGATCTTAATATTTCATTTCTCTGTGATTATAGCTGTCACATTAGGAACCAGAGTTATACTGACTGGCTGGATAGACAGTTGAGTGAATGGATGGTGAAGGAGAGGGATACTCGCCCCCACTCCTCAGGGCAGAACCCCCAGATGAACACAGTGGCTGTCTAGACCACCACCAGAAAGAAGCCCCTAGGTAGGGACGGTCTGAATACGTGGAGCCCTCCTTTTATTTATTCTTTCCTTTGTCTCAGCAAGCAGTTCTCTAATAAAGAACATTCTAGAGCTACCTTCACTGGAATTATCTTCTTACAAATAATTCTTCCCAAGATCTCATGAGCAGATTGGGAACATGGGGGGAGGGGAGAGGGAATGGGGAAAAAGAGAGGGGGAGAAGAGGAGAGGAGGGGAAGATATGGGGGATCAGTAAGGTTGACTTGGGGGAAGAATGGAGGACAGCAGGATGAGAGATACCATAATAGGTTTGAGTCATTATAGATTTGAGAGAGAGCTAACACTAGTGGGATTTCCAGAGATCTACAAGGATAACACCAACTGGCAAACTAAGCAATAGTGGAGAGGCTACCTTAAATGCCCTTCCTTGATAATGAAATTGACGACTACCTTATATGCCATCCTAGAACCTTCATCCAGTAACTGATGGAAGCAGAGGCAGACACCCACAGCTAAACACTGAACTGAACTCCTGGAACCTAGTGACAGAGAGGGAGGAGTGATGAGCCAAGGGGTCAAGACCATGCTGGTGAAACCCACAGAGACAGCAGACCTGACAAGGGGGAGCTCTTGGACCCAAGACTGATGGCTGAGAGGCCAGCATGGGACTGATCCAGACTCCCCTGAATGTGGTGTCAGTGAGGAGGCCTCAGAAATCTCTGGGGCCTTGGGTAGTAGATCAGTGTTTACCATGGTGTGCAAGTGAACTTTGGGAGCCCATTCCATATGGAGGGAACCTCTCTCAACCTGGACACATGGGGGAGGGCCTAGGCCCCGCCCCAGATGAAGTGACAGACTCTGGAGACCCCCCATGGAGGGCCTCACTCTCCCTGGGGAATGGTGTGAGGATTGGGTGAGGGCTGGGAGGGGCTGGTAGAGGAGCAAGGGAGAAGGGGTGGGAGAGGGAGCTGGGATTGACACGTGAGGCATGCATGTTTCTAATTTAAATAATATTGAGAAAAAAAAGAAAAAAAATGCTTTCCTGCCTTCAGCAATAGGCGGTCAAAGTGGAAACCCTGGGGTGGGCTGTAGGTTCTGTGTGCTTCTGCGGTGATTCTAAAGCACACTGCATTTTGAAGGCAACTATTAGTCCTTGGGCTTGCCAGTCTTTGGGTGACCCAAAACTGTGGCTTTTGCTTCCAAGTGTGTGGTGAGAGCCTCGCTCCAGCTCAGCTGCCATATTCGCGATTTGTTCCTGTCCTCTAGTGTTCTGAAGTCTTAGGGAGAAACGGACTCATAATCCTTCCAGTTCACTTAGCTCACTTAATGCAATGCCTAGAATTAGCCAGCAGGGGTCGCTGGAGGCCCACATATTTTGTACCTGCTGGTGTGCCTCCTAGTCTTAGAAATCTTGACTACTTTTTCTTTTAAAAGTGGGAGAAAAATCAACCTTTAATACCCATTACCTTTGAAAACTAGAAGGACAAAACCCAAATGTTTCTGGAAAAATAAAATTTCTTGTCTTTTTAATAGGATCAGCCAATTTCTTGTCTGTCCTCCCCTCCCCCAGCTTATGGGGACTTAGGACAGAAGAACACGCTTTCTGGATAAGGTAGTCACTTGTCCGGGATTCCATTCCTCAGGCACTGGAAGGAGGTAGCTCACAAGTTCATCTTGTTGGATAACACAACATCGTGCATGCCCCTGAGAAGGCAGCTACACTGACCCATCGTTTACATCCCAGAATGTGTCTGTCTTTTCCAGGCCTGGAGGGATTTGTCAAGCGTTCAGTTTTTGACAGATTATTCTGACTACATGAAACTGTATGTTTCTGTGGAAGAAATTATAAGACGTAGATACGCAAAAGAGAAGCGATGTCGAGTCATTGGCACAGCTGACATCAATGTTTGATTGCCAATCTGTGACACACAGATACGGAGAGACACATACAGACACACATGCTGACAAGCACAGACACACACACACAGACACACACAGACATGCACACGTGTGTGCACACACACATGCACACTCACACACTCACACACAGACACACACACATACAAACACATGCACACATGCACATGCACAAGCGCACACACACACGCACACACACACACACGCACGCACGCACGCACACGCATACGCATGCACATGCATGCATACGCACGCATCGGGGCCGAGGAGAAGAGAGGAGAGATGACACAGAGACACAACACAGCAGTGCACTAATATGTCTTCCCATATTGTGCACACTGTGTGAGACACACACACACACACACACACACACTGCAACTCATGCATCAGCACACCTGTTCATATTGGGCACAATGTTTTCTTGCCTGCCCTTTCACAAATAAGCTGTCATGTGATGGGCATGAACAGGCTTCCCATTCCTCAGTTAAAACAGCTGCAAGGAATTCTCTCTCAAGGATGACCCATATTTTCAGGGAATCTGTTGGTAAAAATGCAAACACCATGAAGACCTAGGAATGTGTGACTCTCCCGAAATGGGCATTCTCTGATGTCAACCGTCTTTCATGCCCTTAGTTACACCATCTGTGACATGCACATCATGATTTTGTACAGAGTTTTGGAGTGGTATAGATGCATCTGTGTCTGGGCAGGCCTGGACTTTTTTTTTTTAATGAGTTGACTTTTAAAAAAAAATCTTTCTTTTCCTTGTATTTATTGTATTTATAGAATTTTTGTCAATGAAACGGAATATTCACCTTTGAGTTTTTCTCTGCTTCTAACCCAAGATGGAGAAGGTGATACAACAGGCTACACTGACGTGCTTTCACTCCCACGGTTTCCAAGTTACCGTCTAATGGAACCAATAAACAGCTTTGTTGCCCTGGACAAAGCCCCGTAGAGTGTTCTGGTGTCCTCCAGGATTCCAGTGGGTGTTCAGAGAGGGTGTGGGGAGTAGATGGCATGTCTGAGATTGAAGAGTCTAGCAGCACGGTTTGGAGACATTCACGTTGGGGAACTCAGGCCCGGAAGGGAACTTGCTGGGGCAGATGAGGGGAGGAGGGTGAGCTCTGAGCTTGCTGGGGCAGATTGAGGGGAGGAGGGTGAGCTCTGAGCTTGCTGGGGCAGATTGAGGGGAGGAGGGTGAGCTCTGAGCTTGCTGGGGCAGATTGAGGGGAGGAGGGTGAGCTCTGAGCTTGCTGGGGCAGATTGAGGGGAGGAGGGTGAGCCCTGAGCTTGCTGGGGCAGATTGAGGGGAGGAGGGTGAGCCCTGAGCTTGCTGGGGCAGATTGAGGGGAGGAGGGTGAGCTCTGAGCTTGCTGGGGCAGATTGAGGGGAGGAGGGTGAGCTCTGAGCTTGCTGGGGCAGATGAGGGGAGGAGGGTGAGCCCTGAGCTTGCTGGGGCAGATGAGGGGAGGAGGGTGAGCTCTGAGCTTGCTGGGGCAGATTGAGGGGAGGAGGGTGAGCCCTGAGCTTGCTGGGGCAGATTGAGGGGAGGAGGGTGAGCTCTGAGCTTGCTGGGGCAGATTGAGGGGAGGAGGGTGAGCCCTGAGCATCGTCCACTGTTTAGCCTCACACTGCACTTTGGGACTGCGCTTTGGCTTTCTTGGATTCTATTGCAGCCTGCGCTAAGCTGAGTGCAGGGTGCACACTACGAGCTGCCCTGCAAAGAACCTCCCCATGCTTGGCACAGAACTCTTTAGGATTCATGCACTCCCTTGCACATTTCTTCTAGTCTGGTGCTCCTTTTCTCGCTCACTTGGATCCTCATCAAGCCCACTTTTCTTGTGGGATTCTATGGGTCCTTGCATTTTTTTCTACTGGACCTATGTGTTTTTTTTAAATTTTTGAAACCTACAATAGAGAGTTTAGTGGACTGGGCACTAGTGAATAGCTTGGGTCTCTACCTGTTTCACAGAGGGAGGAACTCGGGATCACAATGCAGCACCCTGCCCAAGGCTGCACAACTAATGAATGGCACACCAGGATCCCCACATGTCTGCAGATTTGTTGGCCTGACAGACTAGTCAGCTCTGCTCTGGGGCAGCTGGAGGGGAATGCTGCAAGAAGCTAGTGCACGTTACTAGGTGGTGGAAACACAGCCACCTGAGATGAATGTGTTTTTTGAAATCTAGGCTAATGTGTATAACTTGTAATCCAGAGCTACATCACGGATGATGCTCCGGATAGCTGAGGCTAGAACACAAGAAGGCTGTAGCTTCTGTCCTGGCTCCTTGAGTTGCTGTTCTGTGGGCTTTCCTTCCTGAGATGCAATCTCTTTTAAAACCCTGTCACTAGTCTGTGACAAGTCTGGCCCATATCAAGGGCTCTAGCCTTCTGTCGGTTGTCCAAGTCCAAGCATCAGCCACGTGTGTGCAGGACCCCCAGCTGTCTGAGTCTTCTCCTCTGAGACCCAGATATCATGACTGTGCAGAGAGAGACAGCCATTGCTCCTTCACATGTACAACCAAGACAGAAAATCAGAAAAAAATAGAAAGGAAAGTCCAGTAGGCCAGGCTATCTCATCATTGAGAGGACACAGAGCCCATAGCTCACCTTTGGTACTGCTGAGGCGTGGCCATGACCTATGGCAGAAAAGAGAACACACATGAGTATCAGCTACTGAATTCAACACTGTCTCTAAAGTAGCGGGCCCTCCCAAGATGCATTTCACCACTCCTTCTGTGAAAACTGTACGTGCATGTTCGTATCTGTACCGGTGCATAGGTGTCCTGCATATATAGCTGCACATATGTATGGATGTCTGTACATGTGTGAACACGTATGTGGAGGTCAAAGGGCATCTCAGTTTGTTCCTCAGGTGTGGTCCACCTTGACATTGTGAGACATGGTCTGTCATTGGACTGGAGCTCACTATGGATGCTGGGCTGGCCAGTCAGCCCCAGGGTCATCTTATTTCCACCTCCCCAGTGCTGGAATATAAATATGCACTACCACCTCTGGCTTTAAAACTTTATTTAGCCAAGCATTGGTGGTGCACACCTTTAATCCCAATACTCGGGAAGCAGAGGCAGGTGGATCTCTGTGAGTTTGAGTCCAGCCTTGTTTACAGAGTGAGTTCCAGGATGGGCTCCAAAGTAATACAGAGAAACCCTGTCTCAAGAAAAAGCCAAAATTTATTTATTTATTTATTTATTTATTTATTTATTTGTTTATTTATTTATTTATTTATTTATATGTGGGATAGAACTCAGATCCCTATTCTTTACCCTCTGAGTAATCACCCACCCAGCGACAGCCTGTATAATACAAACATGTTTATATTACTGTAGGCTTGAAGTAATGTTTTGTTAAAGGCAATATAGAAGATAGAAGACATAGACAGGAAAAAAATCAACACCATGTTCATATGAGTATATGTGTGCAATGAGGATGCCTGCATACATTTAAAATGAAAACAATGTATGATGCATGCATGTGAGTGCATGCATGTTGTGTGTGTGTGAGTATGTGACTGTGTGTGTGTGTGATTGTTCCCATGTTGTGAAAGTCAGAGGACAGTTCTTTGGGGTTCCACCCTGAAGAGGCATGGCCTCTCGTTTCTGTGCTTTACACTCCAGGGTAGTCTATCCTGTGAGCTGCCAGGCAATGTCCCTGTCTCCACCACTCATCTCGCCTTAGGAGAGCTGCGATTATAGATGCCTGTCCCGGCACTAGGTCTTTTGGGTGGGTTACAGGCATGGAACTCCAGTCATCAGTCACCAGGATTACATCAGTGCTCTTACCAACTGAGCTGTCACACAGGCCCACAGACACACATTAAGATACATAGGTGTTAAATGTCTTTATATGAGATTGTGAAGGATACCACTGTGACACTTTATTATGCAGTGCCATTGAAAAACACATTTGTTGGCTGTGTGGCACTTTTCAAGCAGATTTAGTTTCTTGCTAATTTTGATTACTGTAAACAAGACTGCAAAACTCATCCATTCTAGCATTTTAGTCTCATCTCTGAATATCTTCATGGACAGACAACAATCTAGTTAATAGAAGGCGCCAAGTTGTGCGAGCATCCTCAGGCCCTTGCGGCACATTTCTCAGATGCTTTCTGGATGGTTTGTATTGATTCCTTTTAACTTACATTCTTATCCATTGACCATGAAGTGGCCACCCACTGTGTCTCCCCACCAGGATCCACGTTCCAACCCTACTTTACCTACTTGACACTTATCACACCTGTTTCATTTCTGAGATGGCTAAAGAGTTTGAAATATTACATGCATTTCCCTTTTGGTCAATCACACGTGTGTGTTATTGTTTATGTTCTGATGAGAAGTCCTTGGCAGAGTCGCAAATGTCACCCTTGGACAGTGTCCCCCTGAGAGCAACTTTTCCCTAGATTTGGGCTCTGATCTGAAAAGCCCCAGGGCAATGGAAAGCTCCAAAGGGCACTGCTTCCGTGAGCTGACTTGTTTGTGCATTTAATAACCCTTAGCTCTCTATGCACACCTTTCCTCCGAGGCTCTCTAAGTGCGTCACAGCTGCAATTAATTGAGCATCGCAACACACATTACGTGTAAATATTTATGAGGCCTATCTGGTGGCTGGGACATTGGGCACACAATAGTTAAGCAATGAAGCATCAGTAACCAGGAGACCAGAGCTCAGGAGTCCAGATTCCTGCCTATTCTGATGCCATCCCTTCCCTAACTTCATCTTCCAAATGACCTTGGGGAACTTCCCTTACAAGATACAGGGTACAGGGCTGCACAAACACCCTGATCCAGACAGCCACTGAGAGGCAAGGAGATTGCCTCAAGCTTTGCTTCCCCTCCAGCCTGCTCTCCCCACCCATGCCTATGGGAAGCGGTGAGTCTCACTCGGAAGCCACCACACATCTGCAGCCTGGAGCCCTGTGGTTAGCGGTCGGTACCCTTTCAAGTTGCCTGAGCTTCAACAGAAACTAACAGTACAGTACCTGGTGAGAAGCAAATCCTGTTTGTGGGGCCTGTGAACACTCTCCCATCACCCTAGACACATGATCTCTTCCCTGACATCCTTGCCTGTCATTAGCCTCACAAGACCCTCAGACATACAACTTATGATGTGCAATAGAGCTCATTATGAATGGAGCAAGTGTCCCAGGTACTCCAGGCAGGGGATTCCAAAGTGAGCTGAATGTAGGTGTGAACCTGGGACTTCTGAGCCTCAGGAGAAGTCTTCTGCAGGTCCTAGGGAGGATCCTGACTTTTGTATTCTCTGTCTTCTGACTTGGCCTCCCTAGTATTTTAGAATGTGACACTGGAGATCACATAGTCTGATTTGCTAATTCGACAGGGAAGCTGAGGCCTGAGACGGCTTACTGTTTTCCCTCTCCTCAGAAGGGTCTGAGGCACACAATAAGTTGAACAAAAGATGATGGAAAAACAAACCCAAACAAAACATTGAGCACCTGTCTGGGCACTGACCTGGCTCCCCTCTTCGGCAGTGTCTGACCTATTTACACTTAGCTTCTCAATTTCTTTTCCCTGCTGATGCATTGTTTTTATTTTACCTTTACGGATTGATCAATGAACAGATTTGTTTTTGAGAGAAAGTCTCTCTATAGCCCAGCCTGGCCTTGCTTTGAACTCTCTATAATCCCCCTGTTTCAGCTTCCCAGGTGCTGGGATTACAGATATGTAACAGCACAGCTTCTAGTTTTATTTTTGACTTACTGAAAGCCATAGATGTCACTGTACAGATACAGTGAAGAGACAAATAGTACCCAGCATTGCTGTTATGATGACAGAATGGAAGGGGGGGCTGCCAGGGACAGGAAAAGGATGGGGCATTCAAGGGGACAGTGTTTTGACTTTTACAAGAAAACAGGTCTTAGAAATGATCTAGTGGCTGCAGCGTGCCCACAGTTATCGGCACTGTGTACACAGCTGAATATTTGGGAGCTGATCTCATGTTATGTTTTTATGTTATACACAAGTAATAGTAAAACACAAGGGCAGAGAAGCCATTTGGAGGCAATAGATACAGGTTTCTGGCATCGGTTTTAGCCAGTTGGATCTCCATCTTCCACTCTGCAGATGTAACTAAAACTTAACCTGCCTAGAGTGGCATAACAAGCTATTGCCAGAGTCAGGTTTTTACTTGGAGTTCCTTGTTATTCACAAGCCTAGAGCAGCAACACAGCTTGCAGAGGGCTTTGCATCTGGAAGCTTCCTCCCGATTGCCAAGGCTGTCTGAACATGGCTTATCTGCTTCACTCTGGGTGGGGTCCGAAATGATGGTTGGGTATTCATATGTCATGTCCTTGGGGATTCTGCACCCTGTGGACTCTCTGTGCATCAGTGCAAGCCTGTGAATTAGCAGAGGAAGCCTCAGCAAAACACGGAAGGGCCTGTTATTCCAGCTGAGCCTGCTGCTATGATCCAGAGAGCTGGAGAAATGGCTTGGGGGTGGGGAGGCTGGCGGTGTTGCCTGAGATGGAAGAAGAGGGAGGCTGGACACTGGGTTTGTCTGGATGGAGTGTGGACGTCACCCTGACACCAGCAGCTGCTGAGCTCTCTGGAAAGGCTCCTGTGTTAATGCTCTTTACAGCCTGACAGCCCATGGTGAGGAATGAAAGATGCTCCTAGCTGACTTCATGGGGGTTTGATGTGCTCAGCCTGTGCTTCAGTGAGGCCGGCCTGCTAGCAAGCTGCCCCTTGCCAGGGGATCGCAAGATGCGTTCTGGCTTCCTTTTGTCAACAGCATCAATAACATAGCCATGTGCAAATGGGCCACAGCTGGGTAGAGCGCAAGAGTGGCAGCATCATCTGCCCTTATACTCCAGGCTCCCTTCCACATCTGGGCCTGGAGGAAGCAGGGTTTCCTTCCTTGGCTTTTCCTGTGTGTGTGGCAGGTGTCATCATTGTGGCAGGCAACTCTGTAAACTGTAGAATGATCAAGTTGGCCCTCCCATGTCTGTGGTTTTCTGACATGTAATCTTATTATAAATAGATTTTAATTTGGAGTGATTTTTCATTTTTAATTCTTTTAAATAATTTAATGCATTTAATGAGCTTTAATTTTTAAAGGATACTAAAACAAACTCTCCCCTCCCCCACCTCTCCTGCTGCCTGGTACACTGAATGTGATGATGTAGACAGTGTGTTCCTGTGTCCTTCCTATCCACTGGGACACAGTGTAGATGGTGTGTTATCTGTGTCCCATAGAGATGGGACTCGCCCCTGTCTCTAGGGTCGAGCTCCTGGAATGGAGACTCATAACTTATTGTCCCCTGAAACTTGGCAGAAAACGCTGGGGAAGTGATCCACGTGATCTTACATCATCAGTCTTCTTCATCTCCCAAGCTTCCAAGAGTAATGGATTTGAACTCTATCTTGCTTAAGTGCTATTCATGAAATTAGAAGGTTACTCCAGAATAAAATTGTGTAGCTTTTGAAAGACAAGTGATGTATTTAGGAGTTACTAAACTCATTTTAAATACAGAGAGAATTGAAGCAGAACACAAGATTTCTAAGTTTGGGACTTTTCTCTTCACTTGAGTATCTACACTGAGCATGTTGCAAAAAACGATCTCACACAAACTTTGTCCTGGGGAATGGTGTCTTTGTCCCCACAT